TCGCATATAGTCCTGGGGACCATTCAGGCTTGTTCGCATTTGTGTTCCTAACGTGTGCCCCAAAAAATGAGGTGATTTGGTGAAATGCTATGCCCAAGATTACCATCCGAGTTGCCGTCGGGGGAAGTGGCTCAAATAGCCTCGGCTATCACTTCCTTTTGACGGCCGTGATGGTCAAGCGGATTAAGGCGCCCTGTAGTTACCAGTTGCGTTGCTTCTGGGAGTATGGGTTCGAGTCACTTCTGGGGTGTGAGTTTTCATTCGCATATAGTCCTGGGGACAATTCAGGCTTGTTCGCATTTGTGTTCCTCACGTGTGCCCCAAAGAATGAGGTGATTTGGTGAAATGCTATGCCCAAGATTACCATCCGAGTTGCCGTCGGGGAAGTGGCTCAAATAGCCTCGGCTATCACTTCCTTTTGACGGCCGTGATGGTCAAGCGGATTAAGGCGCCCTGTAGTTACCAGTTGCGTCGCTTCTGGGAGTATGGTTCGAGTCACTTCTGGGGTGTGAGTTTTCATTCGCATATAGTCCTGGGGACCATTCAGGCTTGTTCGCATTTGTGTTCCTCACGTGTGCCCCAAAGAATGAGGTGATTTGGTGAAATGCTATGCCCAAGATTACCATCCGAGTTGCCGTCGGGGAAGTGGCTCAAATAGCCTCGGCTATCACTTCCTTTTGACGGCCGTGATGGTCAAGCGGATTAAGGCGCCCTGTAGTTACCAGTTGCGTCGCTTCTGGGAGTATGGGTTCGAGTCACTTCTGGGGTGTGAGTTTTCATTCGCATATAGTCCTGGGGACCATTCAGGCTTGTTCGCATTTGTGTTCCTCACGTGTGCCCCAAAGAATGAGGTGATTTGGTGAAATGCTATGCCCAAGATTACCATCCGAGTTGCCGTCGGGGAAGTGGCTCAAATAGCCTCGGCTATCACTTCCTTTGACAGCCGTGATGGTCAAGCGGATTAAGGCGCCCTGTAGTTACCAGTTGCGTTGCTTCTGGGAGTATGGGTTCGAGTCACTTCGGGGGTGAGTTTTCATTCGCATATAGTCCTGGGGACCATTCAGGCTTGTTCGCATATATATATATATATATTTTTTTTTTATATTTTTTTTGAAAAAAAGTACCTAGAAGGGGTACCACCTCTGGTGCAAGTGTAGGGACCCATAGCCTCGGAGAAGAAAATAAAGAGTACTCAGAGAAGACCTTGTGGATCCTCACTGAACACTTTGATATTTTCTTCTCCTACCACCCTTATTCTTTTGGTATGTGAGTGTATTTATCTAACTTTATTTGAAAATGTCATTACACAAAAAAAGTTACAATATTGATTACATGCAGAGTACAAGGCTGCTTGTCACAAGTTGTACAGCTCTTCCAGCTCCTCAGATGGCGGGCAGGAACCATGGATGCAGTGAGCATTTCCTCTCTGGATTGCCACACTAAGGCGCTGAAAAAGAAAACTGGCAGCTCTAGGGTCTCTAGTTGTTTCTATTAGCTTAGACCCCAACTCCTTCAAAAAGCTAGCAGCACTTTTACCCCAGGCACCAAGTGTCTCTGAGGCAATGGGGACAAAATTGTAGTGGTGCTCAAGGTCTCTGTATTTACGTGACTTGGCCGCTTCCCGGTGATTGGCAGCTCCTCCTGCTTGTGTAGCACTGAAGTCAACATAGGTATTGGCTAAAGTTGAAACGCAAGTGTAGTCCCACACCAACTGTCTACCATTCTTTCAGGGGTTCACCGTGATTCCATCTGGGCGACCGACAGGCTCATCAGAGTTGCGGGACATTAGGTAACGGGGCTCTCTCTCTGCTGGACAACCGGCTGTGGTAAGGCTTCTCTTAATAATGTCATTGACCTCGCTGTGTCTTGCATGCCATCCTCCTGTCCTTTGGCAGAGAAGGCCATGCCGTCCGTATCTGTCGGCCTCTGCCTCGCCGCAAATACACCTGTATTCGGTGTGGATTGGGGCAGCGAGGCGGAGGGCCTGCGGTGTGAGACGGGTGCCGGTTGCTGACATTGGGGTTGCTAATAGGAAATCACCTGCATGGGGAGCTGCTACAGCTCTAAGTCGGGCAGTGTCATGTGGTGTTGTTGCAGCTTCTAGGAAAGTCGCAGCTTCTTGGTCGGCAATGGGGCGATCCCAGCTGGATTGCTTATGGGCTTCAGAAGTCGATTGTAACTTGAGAATGGTCCAGGACGGACCGAAACGTCATCGTCCCTTCACCTTCTAGTGTGTGGTCTGGTCAACTTACTTTAGCCACGTTATTATGACTCATTGCCTGCACCTGTCTCAGTTTTTAATGGACCTATCCTTTCCCGAATCTTTGTCCGGTATAACTGGAAAAACCCGTTAGGATTTGTCTTTGCTTGCTCTGCTATGCGAACTTCATAGTTTCTTTTTGCTGTCCTTATCTCTTTTTTAGTATTTCTAACTAGTTGTATGAATTCCTGTTCTAAACTGACTTCTCCATTCTTAATCCTTTTGTACCACGCTCTCTTTTTACCTATAAGGTTCTTCGACCTTTGTTATCCACTTTGGGCTCATTAGTTTCGACTCTGAAATATATATGGTAATACTATTTGCTTAGAATATTTTTAAATAGGTTATATTTTGAATCCACATCGAAATCCCCTTACGTCACCTATCGCTGGGTTCACGTCTAGCTCAAAGACCGGCCCACACCCCAAACCCAAGACTTTCCAATCTATTTGACCCCAAAAAATCTTAGGCTATTGAAATCCGCTTTTCGAAAATCTAGCACTTTAACAGAATTTTCTCTTACAGATCCATTCTATTCCATTCTATGCTAAATCTGATTTCTTTATGATCACTGTTCCCTAGCTCACTCCCTATTTGGATGTTCATTAATTTGTGTTTCCCTATTAGTTAACACTAAAACTAAACTATTTTTTACCCACGTTGGTTCCTTAAAGTGTTGCGTAAGAAAGCAATCGTCAATTAATTCTAGAAAATCTTCTGCTTCATTATTCCCTGTGTTCTGTTAAACCAGTTTATTCCGCTAAAATTAAAATCACCCATGACACAAATACTGCTAGTCCTTGATGCTCTAGATATTTCATCCCATAGGTGCATTGCTTCCATCCTGTCTAAGTTTGGTGGCGCTGTATATAACTCCTATTATAAGTTTATTTGCTTTTTCGTTTTTATTTTATCCAAATAGTTTCTGTGTGTGACTCAGTTTTAATTCCCTCTTTGAGACTACATTTCAAATTTCCCCTAACATATATTGCTACCCCCCTCCTCGTCTAATATATCTATCTGTGTGAAATAGTTTTAAATGCATTTATTCGATATTCAGCTAATAGTTCTCTATTTTCTACATTCATCCACGTTTCGGTAAGTGAAATTAATATCTATTTTTTTCGGTGCAGACAAAGGAATTTTAATTCGTTTATTATTATTGTTTCTTAAACTTCTACTGCTAGTGTAATACACCCTAATTGTATTGTTATTTTGAGGCCCTTCTCTTTCCATAATCATTTGGCAATTTTTTTACCCCACAAAACCTTACTTTGTATTACCTCCTTCCTCCATATCAATTCCCATACCACTATCTACTAACAGTTTAAACCCAAACAAACACCTCCAACCACTGGTTCCAATCAGTTCGCAACAACAACAACCCCAGCCCTCGATAGATGCACCCCATCACGAGCATACATTTCATTTCTTCCATAGAAGTGTTTCCCAGTTGTCTATGAAAGATATTGCATTTGATTTGCAATATGTTTCCAGCCGGCAATTGACACCAAGTGCCCTCGACAACCATTCATTTCCCACTCCCTTTCTTGGAAGAATGCCACATATGATCGGGATTCCTCCCTTGCTCCCAACTAATTCTATGGCTGTCTTAAATCTCTGTATTAGTTCTTCACTCCTAACTCGTCCAACATCATTTCCACCTGCACTAATACAAATAATGGGTTTGTTTCCATCTTCAGTCATATTATCTTTCATGTTGCCAACAATATCGCCAATTCCAGCTCCCGGATAGCAAACCCTTAGCCTGTTCCTCTTATCTCTGACACAAAATGTTCTGTCCAAAAACCTCACCTGGGAATCTCCCACAACCAAAATTCGCTCAGTTCCATTCTTTTCCTTTTGAGCACTTTGAGGGACCTGCGCTTCGTTGCTTTGCCTGGAACTGCAGGCTCACCACAGCACTCGTCCTTCAACACGGCAAATGCGTTAGAAATCCTTAGGATATCATTAGGCGGCTTTGTCAAGGTCTTCTTAAGGCCCCTGTCCTTTACAGCTTTCCAAGACGAGGTCTTTTTAATACTGGTCGCCTCCTTTGTTTCTTCTTGATGTTGTTTCAGCTTTCGTACCTCCTCCCGTAGGGAATCCGACTCTCTCCTCAGAGCTCCCACTAGATTCATCAGTTCCTTCACTACATCTTCCATTATTGCTATAATAATATTAGTACAATCTGAGCTCCAACTAACACACCCTCTCTATGTTCTATATGTTCTAAAACATATTCTGAAAATGGTCTTTTGAAATATTGTCGGTCCTCGATCATCTCTTGAATAAACTTCTATGGTCATATGAACTCTGAAATATTTTTATAAAACTGAACTCTAAAAAGATTGAATTTCCCCCATAAGATCTCTTTAAGTCCAAAACGGTAACTTTTGTTCTGAATTTACCCCATAAGAAACCTTTAACTCTAAATCGGGAATATTTGCCTCGTATTTTCCCCATAAGAAACCTTAAAGAACTTAGCGGTAACCGAGACTGTAAATTTTCCTCATAAGCATTCTTAAAGACGTTAGCATTAACTGGCTAAATTTACCAGGAACCCATCATGTCTCAGCAGTAACCAGGCCTGAAAATGAAAAGTCATCGCTGAGGTGTCGTCCCTACTACTGTGGTTGTTGGGATGGTGGTGGTGGTGGTAGTGTAGGGGTGGTGGTGTAGGCGTTATAGTGGTGGTGTAGGGGTGGAGAAGTGATGGGTCAGGAGGCAGGAAACATACCTGGGGGACCCCACGAAGTAGCCGTGGACCCGCTGTGTGGGCCATGGTATAGTACCTGGGAACTGCAGGCAGTTGTAGCTGTCATGAGCCACCATCCGACCCACCATCACTGGCCACAACCATTTCTGAAGACGGCACCTTATTAATACCAGCAACCATTAATACTAGCAACCATTAATACTAGCAACCATAGCATACCAGTAGCCCAGGTAACTACCAGTAGCCCAGGAATATACCAGTAGCCCAGGAATATACCAGTAGCCCAGGAATATACCAGTAGCCCAGGAATATACCAGTAGCCCAGGTAACTACCAGTATTTATACCACTTACACTTACTGGTATAAATCTAACGAGATCTGTAATTTCTGATTTTTTCTTATTATTTCTCTACCTCTCACCACCCCCCTGTGAGCCCCAGGACTACCTCCCTCCACCTGTGAGCCCCAGGACTACCTCCCTCCACCTGTGAGCCCCAGGACTACCTCCCTCCACCTGTGAGCCCCAGGACTACCTCCCTCCACCTGTGAGCCCCAGGACTACCTCCCTCCACCTGTGAGCCCCAGGACTACCTCCCTCCACCTGTGAGCCCCAGGACTACCTCCCTCCACCTGTGAGCCCCAGGACTACCTCCCTCCACCTGTGAGCCCCAGGACTACCTCCCTCCACCTGTGAGCCCCAGGACTACCTCCCTCCACCTGTGAGCCCCAGGACTACCTCCCACCACCTGTGAGCCCCAGGACTACCACCCTCCACCTGTGAGCCCAGGACTACCTCCCTCCACCACCTGTGAGCCCCAGGACTACCTCCTCACACCACCTGTGAGCCCCAGGACTACCACCCTCCACCTGTGAGCCCCAGGACTACCACCCTCCACCTTCTGTGAGCCCCAGGACTACCTCCTCACACCACCTGTGAGCCCCAGGACTACCACCCTCCATCACCTGTGAGCCCCAGGACTACCTCCCTCCACCACCTGTGAGCCCCAGGACTACCACCCTCCATCACCTGTGAGCCCCAGGACTACCTCCCTCCATCACCTGTGAGCCCCAGGACTACCACCCTCCATCACCTGTGAGCCCCAGGACTACCTCCTCACACCACCTGTGAGCCCCAGGACTACCACCCTCCACCACCTGTGAGCCCCAGGACTACCACCCACCACCTGTGAGCCCCAGGACTACCACCCTCCACCACCTGTGAGCCCCAGGACTACCACCCACCACCTGTGAGCCCCAGGACTACCTTCCACCACCTGTGAGCCCAGGACTACCACCCTCCACCACCTGTGAGCCCCAGGACTACCATCCTCCACCTGTGAGCCCCAGGACTACCACCCACCACCTGTGAGCTCCAGGACTACCTCCCTCCACCCCCTGTGAGCCCCAGGACTACCTCCCACCACCTGTGAGCCCCAGGACTACCTCCCACCACCTGTGAGCCCCAGGACTACCACCCTCCACCACCTGTGAGCCCCAGGACTACCTCCCACCACCTGTGAGCCCCAGGACTACCACCCTCCACCTGTGAGCCCCAGGACTACCACCCACCACCTGTGAGCCCCAGGACTACCACCCTCCACCTGTGAGCCCCAGGACTACCACCCTCCACCTGTGAGCCCCAGGACTACCTCCCACCACCACCTGTGAGCCCCAGGACTACCACCCTCCACCTGTGAGCCCCAGGACTACCACCCTCCACCTGTGAGCCCCAGGACTACCACCCACCACCACCTGTGAGCCCCAGGACTACCACCCACCACCTGTGAGCCCCAGGACTACCACCCTCCACCTGTGAGCCCCAGGACTACCACCCTCCACCTGTGAGCCCCAGGACTACCACCCTCCACCTGTGAGCCCCAGGACTACCATCCACCACCACCTGTGAGCCCCAGGACTACCTCCCACCACCACCTGTGAGCCCCAGGACTACCTCCCACCACTACCTGTGAGCCCCAGGACTACCACCCTCCACCTGTGAGCCCCAGGACTACCACCCAGCACCTGTGAGCCCCAGGACTACCTCCCTCCACCTGTGAGCCCCAGGACTACCACCCTCCACCTGTGAGCCCCAGGACTACCACCCACCACCTGTGAGCCCCAGGACTACCACCCTCCACCTGTGAGCCCCAGGACTACCACCCTCCACCTGTGAGCCCCAGGACTACCTCCCACCACCACCTGTGAGCCCCAGGACTACCTCCCACCACCACCTGTGAGCCCCAGGATTACCACCCTCCACCTGTGAGCCCCAGGACTACCACCCTCCACCAGTGAGCCCCAGGACTACCACCCACCACCACCTGTGAGCCCCAGGACTACCACCCACCAACACCTGTGAGCCCCAGGACTACCACCCTCCACCTGTGAGCCCCAGGACTACCACCCTCCACCTGTGAGCCCCAGGACTACCATCCACCACCACCTGTGAGCCCCAGGACTACCTCCCACCACCACCTGTGAGCCCCAGGACTACCTCCCACCACCACCTGTGAGCCCCAGGACTACCACCCTCCACCTGTGAGCCCCAGGACTACCACCCACCACCTGTGAGCCCCAGGACTACCTCCCTCCACCTGTGAGCCCCAGGACTACCACCCTCCACCTGTGAGCCCCAGGACTACCACCCACCACCTGTGAGCCCCAGGACTACCACCCTCCACCACCTGTGAGCCCCAGGACTACCACCCTCCACCACCTGTGAGCCCCAGGACTACCACCCACCACCTGTGAGCCCCAGGACTACCTCCCACCACCTGTGAGCCCCAGGACTACCACCCTCCACCACCTGTGAGCCCCAGGACTACCTTCCACCACCTGTGAGCCCCAGGACTACCACCCACCACCTGTGAGCCCCAGGACTACCTCCCTCCACCTGTGAGCCCCAGGACTACCACCCTCCACCTGTGAGCCCCAGGACTACCACCCTCCACCTGTGAGCCCCAGGACTACCACCCTCCACATGTGAGCCCCAGGACTACCTCCCACCATCTGTGAGCCCCAGGACAACCTCCCTCCACTTGTGAGCCCCAGGACTACCACCCTCCACCTGTGAGCTCCAGGACTACCTCCCACCATCTGTGAGCCCCAGGACTCTCACCACCCCCCTGTGAGCCCCAGGACTACCACCCTCCACCTGTGAGCCCCAGGACTACCTCCCACCACCACCTGTGAGCCCCAGGACTACCTCCCACCACCACCTGTGAGCCCCAGGACTACCTCCCACCACCACCTGTGAGCCCCAGGACTACCTCCCACCACCTGTGAGCCCCAGGACTACCACCCACCACCTGTGAGCCCCAGGACTACCACCAACCACCTGTGAGCTCCAGGACTACCTCCCTCCACCTGTTAGCCCCAGGACTACCTCCCACCACCTGTGAGCCCCAGGACTACCACCCTCCACCTGCGAGCCCCAGGACTACCACCCTCCACCTGTGAGCCCCAGGACTACCACCCTCCACCTGTGAGCCCCAGGACTACCACCCACCACCTGTCAGCCCCAGGACTACCACCCTCCACCTGTGAGCCCCAGGACTACCACCCTCCACCTGTGAGCTCCAGGACTACCTCCCACCATCTGTGAGCCCCAGGACAACCACCCTCCACTTGTGAGCCCCAGGACTACCACCCTCCACCTGTGAGCTCCAGGACTACCACCCTCCACCTGTGAGCCCCAGGACTACCTCCCACCATCTGTGAGCCCCAGGACTACCACCCTCCACCACCTGTGAGCCCCAGGACTACCACCCTCCACCTGTGAGCCCCAGGACTACCTCCCACCATCTGTGAGCCCCAGGACTACCACCCTCCACCACCTGTGAGCCCCAGGACTACCACCCTCCACTTGTGAGCCCCAGGACTACCACCCTCCACCTGTGAGCCCCAGGACTACCTCCCTCCACCTGTGAGCCCCAGGACTACCACCCTCCACCTGTGAGCCCCAGGACTACCACCCTCCACCTGTGAGCCCCAGGACTACCACCCTCCACTTGTGAGCCCCAGGACTACTACCCTCCACCTGTGAGCCCCAGGACTACCACCCTCAACCTGTGAGCCCCAGGACTACCTCCCACCATCTGTGAGCCCCAGGACTACCACCCTCCACCACCTGTGAGCCCCAGGACTACCACCCTCCACTTGTGAGCCCCAGGACTACCACCCTCCACCTGTGAGCCCCAGGACTACCACCCTCCACCTGTGAGCCCCAGGGCTACCACCCTCCACCTGTCAGCCCCAGGACTACCACCCTCCACCTGTGAGCCCCAGGGCTACCACCCTCCACCTGTGAGCCCCAGGACTACCACCCTCCACCTGTCAGCCCCAGGACTACCACCCTCCACCTGTGAGCCCCAGGACTACCACCCTCCACCTGTGAGCCGCAGGGCTACCACCCTCCACCTGTCAGCCCCAGGACTACCACCCTCCACCTGTGAGCCCCAGGGCTACCACCCTCCACCTGTTAGCCCCAGGGCTACCACCCTCCACCTGTCAGCCCCAGGACTACCACCCTCCACCTGTGAGCCCCAGGACTACCACCCTCCACCTGTGAACCCCAGGACTACCACCCTCCACCTGTGAGCCCCAGGGCTACCTCGCACCACCTGTGAGCCCCAGGGCTACCACCCTCCACCTGTCAGCCCCAGGACTACCACCCTCCACCTGTGAGCCCCAGGACTACCACCCTCCACCTGTGACCCCCAGGACTACCACCCTCCACCTGTGAGCCCCAGGGCTACCTCGCACCACCTGTGAGCCCCAGGGCTACCACCCTCCACCTGTGAGGAGCCCCATGACTACCACCCTCCACCTGCGAGCCCCAGGACTACCACCCTCCACCTGTGAGCCCCAGGACTACCACCCTCCACCTGTGAGCCCCAGGACTACCACCCTCCACCTGTGAGCCCCAGGGCTACCACCCTCCACCTGTGAGCCCCAGGGCTACCACCCTCCACCTGTCAGCCCCAGGACTACCACCCTCCACCTGTGAGCCCCAGGACTACCACCCTCCACCTGTGAGCCCCAGGGCTACCACCCTCCACCTGTCAGCCCCAGGACTACCACCCTCCACCTGTGAGCCCCAGGGCTACCACCCTCCACCTGTTAGCCCCAGGGCTACCACCCTCCA